TCTGGAAAAATATGCAAGAGGGGAACAGCAGGGTTGAGTGGGATCTCCAATCCTAGCTTTTTGAGGAATCTCCATACTGATTTCCAAGTGGTTGTACCAGCCTGCACTCGCACCAACAACGCAACAGCGGAGAAGGGCTCCTTTCTTCCCCCAGCCTCTCCAGCATTTGCTATTGGCTGATTTCTTGATGTTAGTCCGTCTTTCTGCAGTGGGATGGAAACTCAGTGTTGTTTTAATTTGCATGTCTCGTTTTAATTTGCATTTCTCAAATGACCAATGATGTTTAATAAACTTACTTTTATGCAGAAAGTTTTGCAAAAGTATTTACAACAGCTGTGTCAGTAAATGCCAATTCTAGAAACTGCACCTTCCATGGGTGAGTGATTAAAAATCAGTACTGTGGAACACTACTTCGAAATAAAAAAGAACCACTTACACCGGCAACAATTTATTTTTTTTCTTTTTTTAAAATGTATTTAGCTGTTGCAGTCTCACTGTGCAGCTCGGACTCATGGTGATCCTGCTTTCAGCCTCCCCAGAGCTGGGATTACAGGCCTGTGCCCTCATGCCCAGACTCTGGCCGGCTCAGTCTGCCCTGGGGGCGGGCCTGGCACAGCATGTGGTGCCAGGGATCGAACTGTGCTTCCCGCGCTTGCTTAAGCTTGCCTAAGCAGGCTTTAGTCTGCTGAACTATCTTGCCAGCCCCACCAGCAACAATTTAGATGAAACCGAGGAAATTATACAGGTTGGAAGAAGTCACTCTAGTCTGGGCAAGGTGGAACACGCCTGTAATCCCAGCACTTGGAAGCTTTCTGGGAGCAGCCAATTGCGAAAGGATATGAATAGAATAATTCAGTAATTAAATGTATGTAACAGTTTTTAAATAACTGTAATTGCCAAGAGTTTCTGGGATGCAGAGCGAGTTTACAAAGGAGCAGCTTTAAGGGGCCTCTTGCTGACGCCAGGTGGCATCAGTGAGGCGAAGACAAAGACAAAGCTACACTGGTGCAAGCCGGCCTCTAGGGGGCGCGCTAGCGCCGGTCTCCAGGTCTGATTCTGTGACAGCCGTGTATTTCTGCACCTTCCTGGCAGTCGTATTTGAAAACAAGGATGCTTTCCTGGAAGCCCGGCTCCCTTCCCCTGGGTCGCCGTCCGGCTGTCCAGGCGGCTCCCGGCAGGAGCGCGTGGGGAAGCGGGCGCCGCCCGGCCCGGCCAGGACCCCACCGCGCCGGACAGGCGCGCTCCGCCCACACGCGGGCAGGACCGAGATGTCGCGGCCGGGCCGGGCCACGAGCACCACCTGGCGGCGCCCTCGACCCCTGCGCCAGCTTGCAGGCGCTTCAATCCGCGGAGCTATTTGGCCCGCCTGATGCTGTAGTCTTGAGACCCAACTTTCTGTTCGCAGAGAAATCTGAGTTTAATCTTCAGCTTCCTGGATGAAGCCCATTCACACTGGGAAGGATAATTTTCATATAAAGGCAAATGAATGTAGGTGTTAAAATTTCCAAAATACCCTGACGATAACTAGGCCCGTGGGAACCAGCTGACATGAAACTCGCCGTCAGTCACACCTCTGCTGTGCAGAGAGGGCTGAAAATTCCTGCTCACGACCTCAAGCGCAGGAGACTCGTGGCGGGCAGCGCTTTGTAACAGAAAAGCATTTCCCAGTCTTCCCCTTGGGCACCTCTTGATCCCATGGATGGTTCCAGGATCCACACTACTGCCCCTGTACAAACCCTTGGCACAGGCTATTTTGACCTAGGATCTAACAAAATCTGAATTACAGTACTTTTTTCTGCAGCATTTGGGGATTGACATGTGGGTCCTTTCACTGAGCTACATCCTCAGTTCTTTTTTTTTTTAACTTTCAATTTTTGAGATAGGGTCTCAATTGCTAAATTGTCCAGGCTTGTGATGCACCCTGCCTCAGCCTCCCAGACTGCTGGGATTACAGGCACTCAGTGCCTTTTTACGTGTGAAAAGAAAGACACAAACTGCAATCTCTCAAAAATAAAAAATAAAATCATTTATTGAAAAAGAAAAGCTTACGACGTGGCCCATGTGTACAATCCAACATGTGATTGCAAGCTCTGGCACAAGCCACATCTCCACATCATCGTGCTGGAAACACCCAGCTGTCAGGCACGGAACATCCCGGCGCTGCCCGGTCACCAAGAGCTGCTGAAGGGCAGCTCTGGCTGCTCACACACCCATAAAGTGGTTTTAGAACAGAACTGCTGATTTTATTGACCACTCAAAGAAAACAGCTTTTCCACCATCACCCTGATTTAATGCAAAGAACACAGCTAACAGTGGCACCTCCTGCCTGAAAGTACTGGCCATGATTTCAAAGACAACCCGTTTCACTTTCTTTCCCTCAATGGACTCAAGAGATTTGGAATGTACGCTGGAAAACTAAATTCCAAGACAGATTCGAAGCCGCCTTCCCGAGGGCCGCGGCCCACCGCTGCTGCTACCTGCTGTCCCCTCCTGGAGGATGTGGCACTCTGACCCCCGGACAGACGGAAACACCGGCCGGGGTCCAGGGCTTGTGCTCAGCAGGGAAGAGCTCTGTAAACGGACATGAACTGAGATTTCTCGCTTTCAAGACATATGAGGTGAACATGTAGTGTTAAACACAGACAATGTAGTGAGAAAGGAAAAATGTGAGAAGAAAAAAAGCTGAGTTGTTGTTGGGTTTTTTTTTTTTTTTAACATTTTTTCAACACTCTCAACCTTAAGACTCCTGGGAACTGTCTTAGCGAGACAGCACAGGCTAGATCATCCCACACAGTCACACCCGTGTGGCCTGGGCTTGTGCGGGGGAGAAGACAGCGGCACATGTAAGTAATGTCACCTGTGAGTGGTGACGGTCCCCAGGCAGAGCAGACAGCAAATGCCAGGCCACGCCCCTTGGGTGAGGAGCCTGCGTGAAAGAGGCTGTCGCTGTCAGCCGGGAGCCGGGATCCTGGGCCCAAGAGCAGCATTTAGAGGAAAGGACCAGGATGGAGCGCTGAGAAAGCTGCCTCTGGCCTCACAGAAACCGGGTTGCGCTAGGGACACAGGGCAGCAGCACCTGACCAGAGGTTCCAGGCTGTGGCTTTGGTGCACACAACAGACACAGGCTGAATCCTGGAGACCTCTAGCTCTGTCCCGCCACTGCCATCAGGTTTCTTCCTATGGGAGACCAGAGTGAGCGCAAAGCAGAGCGGACACCTGAGGAGACACAGGGCAGCCTGGGACTGCAGGACCCTGGGCACCAGCGGGACCCTAAGCTGGCCCGGGCACTCCCTGCAGCGGAGAAGGTGGGCTCCTGCCATGGCTGCCTTCTGGGGACCCTGTCTCTAGCCAGGGCCTCTGACCTGTGCCTCTAGCAGCTCCGGGATTCAGAGGCTTCCACCAAAGCACCAGCAGCAGGACACAAGTCTGTCCCTTCCATGGGAGGGAGCTTTATTCTACAAGCAAGTCTGGGTGGCTACAACAGGACTGCAGTGGGCTGCCGGAGCCCAAGCCAGGGCCCAGAGCGGCAGTGTCTAAGCCCACTGGGGCCGCCGCCAAGCTGAGGTTCAAGAGGGTGGTACCTTTCTAATCCCCAGCCACCAAAGCACCTATTAAAACCCCAAAGCAGAAAGGGTGGGTGCAAGGGCCACCCCTGGGGAGTATAAGTAAACAATGCTTAACACATCGCCAGGCAGGGTGGCAGTCACCGTGGTCAGGCAGTGTCTTCCCCAGCCTCGACCTGGAAGGCAACCCTGCTGGCTTTGCAACAAAAGAAAAAGAGAAAGCTGGTTGCTAGGTGGAGCCACGGCCCATGGAAGCTTGGATGGAACACGATGCAAAAACCTGATGTATTCTTGCAGTTCTCTCTCCACCAACTCTCAAGGCAAATCCCATCTCCAGGCAAGCCAAGGCCTGGTGAGGGGTGGAGGGGCCAAGGGTGCTGCCCGGCTGCACACACAGCTGGGGAGAGGGGAGCCTCGAGACTCCTGAAGCACAGCCTGAGGGAGGCAGCAGCAGTCCTGGGCAAGGCAGAGGAGCCCTCTGCCCCTGAGGTCAGCTTCCTACCAGGGCTGCAGACTGACCTCGAGGTCGCCTCCCAGGCTGTGTGCGGCAGGCAGGGAGGGGCTGGGGAAGGATGCGGGGCTCCTTAGTGTTCTGCGTGCCTTTGCCAAGCAGGCCCCATGTGTAACCGATGACCACGTACCCTGCTGCGTAGTGTGGATGGGCTGAGGCGGACTCCAGCTGACCTGGCTTCCCACCCACAGCAGCAAGTGGGAGTCTTCCCGGCACCACAGCAAGGCAAGGCTGAGGCGAAAGCTGGGCTAGAAGCACAAAGCAGCCGCCGCCCAGCTGCTGTTCTGTGGGCTCCACAGACAATCCGGCTGGGGGCAGGGAGGGCGTAGGTGACGCTGCCCAGAGGTGGACCCACAGCGCCTCCACACACCACTGGGGGCAAGTCAAAGGCTGAGTCAAAGTTTGCAGAGGAAGAAACAATTCTTAAGGGCCCCAGATTGAGAGTCAGAACCTAAAAACAAAAATGTAATCTTAAATAATATAAATATTTCCCATGTTGGCAGCACTGCATGTCTTTTCAGAGTGAATGCAATGAAGGACACAGGATGGCGACCTACACAGAGGAACGCGAAGGGGAGATGGGCCCAGGGCCAACGCGATAGGAAGGATAAAGATTACAAACTTTCAGGGCCTGGTTTTCGACCATGAGGTAGGTCCAGATGCCCCCGGAGGGTTGAGCCGGTGGAAAAACCCTGAGGTCCAGTGCCTGGGGCAGCAGGAGGAAGGCGGCGAGGCCCCTGCACACGCCAAGGCCTGGCCCAGAAAGGGAGGGGTCGTGAGGTGAGAGACGCTGAGGTGTTTACACAAAGTGAGCCGTGCAAGGGGAATGCCTAGGGTGCACCGGTGGGACAGAGGCAGACGCACCCGGGCTAAGAGAGAGACAGAGACACACACACACACACACACACACACATACACACACACACACACACACACACTACGGGAGGGAGGCTACCTGCAGCACAGGGTGACAAGGTCGGCTTCACAGGAAGTACAATGAGTGTCAACACCGCTGTCACTAGTGCAACCATGTGCCTGGGACCAACCCTCCCTGCTCCCCGCCTCTCACCTGGGCCTGGGCACCCAGTGTCAGGCAGAGAACCACACCACTTTGCCCATCTGGGCCACACAAGGCGCTGGGGACAAACAGGTGCTGCAACACCTGGGTGGAGCAGGCTGGTCAGAGAAGCAGCCCGGCTCCATAGGCAAAGGCCCTGGAGGAGTTGGTGGACATTGGGGCAGCTGTGGGCTGGATCAGCTCAGCGAGGGACTCGTAGGTCCCCACCACGAAGCCCACGAAGCCCAGGATGCTGATGAGGGCGTCCTTGGCGAGCGTGAGGGGGCCGAGGCCCTCAGAGGAATAGGTGATGACCTCCAGGAGCGGCGGGATGACAAGGGCCAGGGCGCTGCTGCTCACGGAGCCCACCAGGGAAATGACCAGGTCCAGGCGCGGGATGAGGACGGCCAGGATGCCTGTGGAGAGAGCACACACATGGTCAGCCTGGCCCGAGCCAGAGAATGCCTCGCTCCTCAGCAAGTCTGCAGCTGGCCCGATGACAGAATGGAGGCACTAAGAGCTCTTGGACACAATCCAACCCAACCTTCCCCTCCACTGACTAGAACACAGACAAGACATGGAATAACCAGGCTCTCCTGGCCCCTGTGGCTTTCCTTTTTCTAAAGAAAAGAACCAAACTCCATTCCAGGGTGATCTGGTCTGTACCAATCAAGTGAGACTACAGAGCAGGAAACGGGGACACAGTGAGAGCCACGGAAGGTGGAAATCAGTCAGTGTGTGACAGAGGGACTAGGCCTCAGTGCCTAAAGCATTCAAACTACCTGAGTCCTGACAGAAGCATCCTGACTGGTCAATGTCAGCTATTAGTCACTAGGCAACCTTGTGTAATGTGACACTACTTTGCAAAGGTATAAACGCCCCTATAGTTGTGCCAGGGGTCGTTTTGCCAACCAGGTAGATAGGCCACCACCCAACCCAGCTCTTGCCTTCTTGTCTATCTTTTCCTCATTCCTGCCACTGTTTCTCCCTGGATTACAATGGATCACATTGAAAGACCAGCAGATCCTTACAGGGGCAGACCACTTCCCGGCAAGGGTCATTACCTTACCACCACCCGACTGCCTATCTAACACACACATCTCAGCTGCAAGAAGCAGAAGAGGAGCTAGGTATGGTGATACATGCCTGTAATCTCAGCACTAAGCAAGGCTCAGGCAGGAGGATCCCAAGTGTGAATCCCTGCTTAGGCACCTTAGTAAGACCTTGTCTCAAAATTAAAAATAAAAAGGCCTGGAGATGTAGCTCAGTGACAGGGCACATCTGGGTTTGATCCCCAGTACCCAAAAATTTTGTGTTTTTGTTTGTTGGTTTTGTCTTTTTGAGACAGGGTTTCGCTATGCAGTTCGGGCTGACCTTGAAATCACCATGTAGCCCTGGCTGGTCTTAAACTGACAATAATCCTCCTGCCTCAGCCTTCTGAATGCTTGGATTATAGATGTGTGCCACCACACCTAGCTCTAGACTTTTCTTCTTTTTTTTGGTACTTGGAATTGACCTCACAACCTTGCCCTTGCCAGGTAGGCACTGTGCCTTTGAGCTATATCCCTGTACCAAAACTTAAACAAAACAAGGGGAGAAATCCTCCTCCTTCTGACTATCATGATTGAGCCATGAGCATTTTCACACAGGTGGGAAAGAAGCTGCATGTGCAGGCTGGCCATTGACCAAGCCTCCACGCAGTGCCTCGCTTTCCTTGTCAGGCTGAGGGGAGGCCAAGCAGAGGGGGACGATGAATGGTGGGTGGTACCCTGCTTCTAAACCGACCACACCCACCACTTACAGGCCTGTGGACACTATTTAAAGCAAAAAGGAGAGGAGCACACGGGCCGCATTCCACCATGTGCCCATGGGGGCCCGTGTCTCTTGCTCTTGTGTCACTGATCTTTCCAACAGCTGAGCCAATACGTCATAGGCTCACTGAGGACCGTGGGTGCTGGAATTAGACGCTGCATCCAAGTGCTGGTAGGTTCTTTTACTCATTTTCTCCAGGTTTCCCGCTGGCCTGAGGAGAAAACCAGCTGCTTCCCCTTTTCTACAGACGCCATCCCTGTCATGACGCCATCCCTGTCATGACGTTCTGCAGGACCTGGTGCACGGCGGGGATAACAGACACTGTTGCCAGTGTTCATCGGGTCACCCGTGAACAGCGCATCACCTTGTCAGTTGTCAGGTACAGACTGGAGGGTGCCCTCTCCCCGCAGTGGGCTGCAAATGGACACCCTGAGTGTGCCGACAGCGATCTGGGGCTTCTTTCCCCTGATTCCTACAGCACAGCTGCCTTCTACGCAGGCAGTGTGGGTCCAACTCCACAGAGCAACAATGTAGTCACGTCGCTCTGAGGAAGAGGCCCCATGGTAGAGGTTGCCAGGACATCTTGGTCCCATGAGGCCACCACCACCGCCACCGTCTGGATCAGTCACTGATTCTCTGGCTAAGCACCAGACAAGAGGACCAGGTGGCACAGGAAATCTCTCCCTTCAGACTGGGATTGCACTCCCAGCAATGAGGCAAGGAGGGTCAGATCTGGGCCACCCGTCTCACACCTGCCCTGTGGCTCTGCTGCCTGGCACAGCAGCCACCAGCCACAGCGCCACAGGAACTGCCATCAGCTGGACTCCCCATTCACACAAGCTACACTTCAAAGTCTCCACCCTCCAGTGCCCAGGGACTCGCGCCTAGCAGCCAGCCACCACTGCTATGCACCCACTCAGCTGGGTGGGGTGTCTGTGATCACCAGGGAAACAGAGGCCTACGGAGGTCAGCAATTGAGGGACAAAGCCAGGACTAAATCCAGCACCTCTGTCCGAGGAGACCTGGAGACCCCAGGAGCTGGAAAGCACAGGATTTCTGCAGAAGGAGGAACACCGGCGGTCTGGCAGGTGAGCAGGAAGCTCCTGTCTATGAAGAAGCGGGGAGAAGACACTCACCGCTTCCCAGGGATGCAGCACAAGGGTCCAACAGAGATGGCCCTGGGGCAGCTCTGAGATGCTGCCGTAGGCCACAGCAAGGGTTTCCAAGCTTGATTTCAAAGGGGAACAGGACAGGGCACCCCAGGTCCCCCAGGCCCCTCAGATCCCACTCTGTACCCTGGGACAGTCCTTCCTCTTTCCCATCTGTTGTCCCATGAGTCTCTCCACTGATCTCAAGCCTTTGGAAAGCAGACAAACGATGCAGGCTTTTAACTTGCCCTGAAAGTTAGGAAAACAAAAAGTCTCAGAGCTCAGCTCTTTTTAAAATCACCAGAGTTGGCGACAGCCCCCAAGTCCTGAGGGCTGAATATGGAGCAAAACTTGAGATGAAAACTGCAAGCTGGTCACAAAATGCCGTTTCTCGCTATGGGTAACATGAGGTTCCCTGGCAGCTGACCTGCTAGGTGACCCTAATGGCCACTCAGACCCTCTCTGGGTTCCAGGCTCCCCGTGCCTGGCATCAACCTCATGGTGATGGTACCAGGGGCTCTATGGGGGCAGCAGTCAGAACTGGGCCCCAGGGAGGGGTGGTGTGGGGATGGAGGCGCGCAGCATGAGGAGGCTGTGATGGAGATTCTGTTCCCAGCCACAGAGTGGGGTCGGCGTGGCCAAGGGAAATGAGTGACGGAAGGCGTGCGGGGCACAGAACCACACGACACACGCAGACGTGCCTGCCGGTCTTAGCAGCAGTCCCTGCTCTACAAAGAACTGTGCAGCCCGGGGCACAGGAGCGTACCCTCCTGAGCCTCAGTTTATCCGCCTGCAATGTAACGTCACTGCATTAACACTGGAAGCCTGCTGAAGTCGCAGCCAACTCAGGCGAGAGACCGCATGGTGGGTCGGTGCCTGGACGGCTCCCAAGGCCTCAGGCAGTCCTGGGCCGGCTTCTAGAGTATCTGATTGATTCATGGGCAGTGCTGGGATGGAGGGTGTGAGTGCGACGCCCCCCCAAGGGGCAGACGGCCTGCACGTGACGTAAGGAAGCTCTGCCTCTGCCGCTGGTGCCCTGCTCCTCCCTTTTGGCTCTTGCTGTTTCGCTGTTTTCTGCCACCATGCACTGCTGGCCTCTGCCGTGGAGCCAGCTGAGTATGGACTGGCACCTCCACAGACTGTGAACTAAAGAAACCTTTCCTTCCTTAACTGTGGGTGTCAGATATTTCATCCCAGCAATGAGAGAAAAATAACCAAGTCACTGTACAATCTAGTTTTGGTCACATGGAGCACTTTCAGGATATTTCCCCCAGCTCATGGGCAGCTGGGAGACACCAGTGCAGCCCAAGAGTGGCAAGGACAGGCTGGCATTCCTGTCCCAGGACACATGGCTGTGTGAACAGGCAGCTCCCACCTGCCTGGCTTGGCACCTTCACAGGCAGTGCGTCTGCAGGGACACCTGAGCCTGTTCAGAGGACAGAGCCCCGCAGGTGAGTCCGAGGCGCATCCCTGCCAGCCTGGAGGGCCTGTCACCTTACCCTCTCACATTAAGCTGGAAGCTCAGGTGCATACTTGGTGACCAGAGGGGAGTGCAGCTGGAGGTGTCTCCACCCGGTGGCAGACGAGGGCTCAGAGGGAACAGAAGCAGAAGCCTGCCCATCAGAAGCATTTCTCACAGCAGAACAGAGGTTTCCCACTTCATGGTATCTACAAGGAACCTAAAGCTTGTCCTTGTTTTTACCTCAAGGGAGATGCACACGCACGCCTCGTGCCCTTAGGAGAGAGTCACAAGGACACACATGCTTCTCCTCACAGGGCTGCAAAGGAAACTCTCTTGCTGCCCTGGCTCGGCAAGGGGTGCGGCCGGACCCTAAGCCAGGCCTGACCTGGAAAACGAAACAGGAGAAAGCACGAAAAGTGAGGCCCCGCGCCTACGGCTGGGGAAGAGGAAGAGCAGGATGCCCAAGCCACGCTGGCATCGAGCCCAGCGCCCCACAGTGGGCGCATTCCAGGGGCAGCAACGGCTCGCTTAGGAAAGATGAGAGTAGATTCCCTACCACAGCAGCAGAATGGGGGACGAGGGCAACTGCACTGGGCCACAGGATGAGTCAAGAGGCCGCCACGCGTCACAAAACCTCTTCCCTGTGGGTTCAGACGCACTAAGAATATGGTCACAGCTGCTGAGCCATCAGGAGACGAAAGGTCACGCGCAGAAAGGGAAATGCCTGGCACGCTGGGGTCTGAGCCAACTTCCTACGCACAAGACGAGAGCGAAGCGCTTGGGAGAACAGACGCAGTTACAGAAGCACTCAGGCTCCTGCAGCTCCGGGAGGCTCCTGCTGCTCTTTTACTTCAAGCCCTGCTGGTGAAACCCGTCCTGTTGCTTTGTAATGCCTAATAATCCACCTTTAAAACTAGTAAGATTCTTGAACAGATTGTAGGGGTACAAGCAGGAAAAGATACAAAAGCTAGGGAAACACCTATCTGTTAAAGGTCTAGTGAAACTGTTACAAATACAATGGAATGCCATGCACTGGGAAAATACTGAAGGATATGTAGAGCCTGAGATGCAGCTCAGCGGCATGGCGTCCACCTGGAAAGCATGAGGTCCAGAGTTCAATTCCTGGTACACACACACACACAAAGAGAATATGTGTGTGTTCATGATGATATATATATATATATATATATATATATATTTTTTTTTTTTTTTTTTTTAATTTTAGGGAAGTGTCTACAGAGTGTTCAAGGTCTCACTACTAGATCAGACTCACAGTGATCCGCCTGCTGGGATTAAAGGTGTGCGCCACCACATCGTCTCAATGGCTGTCTCAGCGCACCCCGGGGGTGGGGCCAGCATGGCAGGCCCAGGGATCAAACCCCTAGCCCCTGCCTCTGCTTGCAGGCGCTTTAATCCTCTGAGCTATTTGGCCGGCCCTCAAGATGTTAACATGAAGTAAAATGAGAACGAAGTTATGCATATCCCATGATTGCAAAGATTTCTGCAATGTACCAATGAGGATTAAGACAGATAAAATACAAAATAAAAATTATTGTTAGGTCAGTGGGATACTGAGAACATTTTTAGTCCCCAAATGTTTTCACAGTAACTTTCCTTTTTTAGAGCAGTATTCGTGTAGAAATTTAAAACCAAACCCCAGGCCAAGTCACAGAATTCTGGCACTGGGAGAAACCTCAGAGCTTACGGGCAGCTGAGGAACCGGAGGCCCCCACAGCCCCCGGAAAGCACCTCAGCATCACACAGGACACTAGAGAAGCTCCCTCTTCGCTGCAATGGCAAGGCTGCCACGGTGAGAGGCCGGAAGACGCCTGGAAGCTGCAGGACGAGACAGGCTGCTCTACCAGGGTCTGCCTGTCCGGGCTGTTCTGAGGCTGCACGTTCTAGTCTGAATGGGCCTCGGAACAGAGCCGGTTTTATGTTGTACATGTTCTATGATAGGTTTCTGAACTTCTCGGACCTAAAGAAAGCAAAATGTTTCACATGGCAAATGCCACCGAGAATTCACTCTGCTGAAGGACAGGTCCGTGCCCCAGGGAATCCAATTAAAGTATTCACATCACACCTCAGGGGCTCCTACCCAGGCTCCCCATCTCAGGCAACCTGCTAAGTCTGCATTTCCAAAGCTGCAGCTAGAAGGAAATCCTGTCCGTTGGATGACGCAACAAGTACCATCCTCTGAGACTGGCTCTCCAACGGGCCAGAATTAAGCAACAGAAGGTGGGCATCGGCTACAGTCATCTTGAGGGCTGGGGAGACGGGAGAGTGGAACTGCAAGAAGGAGCTGGTGGGCTGAGCCCTCCTGCTCGAGCCTCTGGGAGACAGGAAGCCAAGGAAGCTGAGAAAAGGCTGGGAAGAAGATAAGCGCCAGAGGCAGCAGCAACACAAGCTGCGGCAGAGACGCACAGTTGAACACAATCATTGTATCAAGATTTACAATCACAGACCTTGTGCCAAAAGGCCTGAAAGGACTGAGAAGCAAAAAAATGAACTCATATAAACACACTGAAGCTGAGGCTACCTGAAAGGGCCTCTCCTGACTGCCGCGACCACTTCAAAGCCTCCAGGGAAAGTAAGAGGGGCCGTGAGCTCTCAGACACAGAGCACCGCCCTCCTTAATAGGATGACGGTGCAACACACAGCCACTACAGATCACAGAAGGGAAAGACAGCAGCCACAGGCGCCTGAAGATTAAGAGCAGACCTGACCTTGGGCGTCTCTCTGTAAAGGAAGATGAGACTGCAGGGAAAGCCAGAAGCGTGAGGCACAAACCAAGAGACACTGCAGGACGGGAGAGGGCTGTTAGGCCCGCGACCTCGGCCTCCCATGGGGTGTGCTGGAAATAAAACTTTCTTTATAAGAACCACTTCGCAAAAGGGTAAATTATTTAACTACCAACACCCTTTAGGTTCTAGAATTGGGCCCCACAAGCCGCTGCCAAGCAGAGGGGCTTGGTGGCCTGAACTCTGTGGGGAAGCTGTCCACTCACCTCTACCGCCTCAGCTCCAGTGAGTTCTTTCCATATTCAGGCCCACGATGGCGTGCTTCTACCCACTATCCTTTTTTTTTTTTTTTTGGCGGAACCTGGGATTGAACTCAGGCCCTTGTGCTTGCCAGGGAAGCGCTTATTCCACTGAGCCGTCTCTCCGGCCCCTTCACCCACTATCCTGGAAGCTAATTAAGGCAGGAGCCACAGAGGCCTGAAGAGGTCCTCTGGGGGATCGGAGTTAGCCCACTGCTCACACGGGCGTGCATGGGTGACAGGGGCGGACAGTCACTTACTAGTCCTTCACTTGCTAACAAGCAACCAGTAAGGTCACCTGTGGTGATTTCCCAGCCTAGGAGCAAATGCTAGCGAACATTCACTTTAGTCTTTGCTAAAACAGTCAGCTCAGGTTTGATTAGAAACCACACCGACCGATCTTTATTCCAGAGACTGAAACTGAGTAAAAAAATCCCCAAGGAAGCCTCAATAGAATAAGCAAGAGGTTCTTGTCTCAAAAAAGTAAAAACTAAAATAAAAATGCCAACAATGATAAATACATACTTGAAGCACTTTATTTGGAAAATTACTGCAAGTCTCCTAGAAATTTAAATTAGATGTCCTGGACCTTTTGCTCTCCCCAGGGATTCCCTTGTTTACCAACTCACAGAAGCAACAAGAACAAATTAATTTCTTTACTGATTTCTGTCAGTTTTCAGCTAAGAGCAAACAAGGTCATATTCTTTTCTAACAGCTCTTGGAAAGTGGTTGGGGAAAGGGGCTAAGACAGAAAGAATAAAGCATCGAGGTATATTACCAGACATTGTCTAAGAAAAGGACTTTGTAAGATAGACATAAAAATATCTACCACCCCAGTTCCTAGGGAACGGTGAAAAAAAAAAATCCAGTTCAAAAGGAAGAACTATCTGAAAAACAACACATATCCTCTATCTATCAAAGGGACCTGTCCTCACTGTGTCCCGGGACAGGCAGCCCCCTTGCAGACTCCACCTCTCTCCGACCGGACAGTAACCACGTGCATTTACCTGGAGCTGCAACCTCTGCGCGGCCCTCCTGCCTGTTACAAACTCCTGTCCGCCTTCCCCATGCCTGAGCGTCCTCCCCACGCTGTCTGCAGGTGGCTCGCATGGGAAGGGAGCAGCCGCCAGGTTCTGCCCACAGCGCAGGGGCTTCTCACAGCAGCGCGCGGCACTGGGCACCCCGTAGGGGAGACGGCAACTAGGTACTCACACGTCAGGCACACCATGGCGGTGCGCACGGCCAGGTCCACCAGCAGCTGGCAGGGCTCCGGCGCTCGGGACACAAAGAAGGGGACGATGATCTCAGCTGGGACGTAGAACTGCAGCCCGTAGGTGAAAAAGATCCCGATGGAATAGAGCAGCTTCACCGACTGGTACAGCCTGCAGAGAGAGCGCATTTCTGGCGGCCGGCTCAGTGGCGCAGACCTCAAGGGAGAGAAGAGAGCTGCCAGCGGGGCGCAGCCTCGGGCCCTGCAGCTGCATTCTGGGAACTCGCCTCCCAGATGCCCTTTTACACATGCACAGAAACACATTCAGAGTACTTCACTTGCAGCATAACTGAAGAATGAGGGATTAAAAACACAAGGCTAAAGAGAATCTGGTTAAATAAACCATGGTGGCACTACATAGCTCTTAGAAACCGCGAGGCAGAACGCTAGCCCTGACACGGGCCATCTCTGTGACGTGCTACTGCGTGAACACAGCAGGAAGCAGCAGTGTGTCCAGAGTGCTGCGATGCGGCTCAACACAGCCCTCGGCGTACACACCACATGCGCGCGCAGGCGCTGCGCAGCTCTGAAGGAGACCAAGGCGGTGCAGGTGGGGCTGCCCCGACAGCAGCAGCAAAACTGAATATTCTCCGACACCCACCGAACGTCTGGAAATCTTTATCATAACCATCTGGGCAAATAACCTTTCAAAAGTCAAAGTTAAAAATACAACTAAAGGGGCTGGGGATAATATAGCTCAGAGGCACAGCATGTGTTTGGCAAGTGCAAGGCCATGACTTCAATTCCCCATACCTAAGACAAACAAACAGACAAACAAAGGCAGGCAGTAACCCTGGCTGCTCACCCAGGTTCCACTAAAAGGCTACTGGTACTCCTTGGGGCACTGACAAGCTTCTCCATATCAATAAACAGCCGCTCTCCACGAGATTTTAATCTTCAAAAGAGAACTGCTGCCTACCACCTTCTACGTCATCTCCCTTTTAGTTTTGCAATGCTGGGCACTGAACTCAGGGTCTCATGTGTGCTAGACAAGTGTTTCATATTCCCAGCTCTATCTATCTATCTATCTATCTATCTATCTATCTATCCATCCATCCATCCATCCATCCATCCATCCATCCACCCACCCACCCACCCACCTGTCTATCTGATACTGGAACGAGGGCCTTCACACAGAGCTACATCCCTGGCCCATTTTTTTTCTTTCCTTAGTGTCTCCTGAGTGCTGCATTGTGGCACAATCTTAGCCTGGCGTCCTCTTGCCTCAGCCTCCCACGTAGCTGGGATGAGTCATGCACCACCTTACCCAGCTGACATCTGCCTTTCTAGAAAGCCTTTCACTCTGCCTCAGTGTTGCCCTACAGGAAGTCCACGAGCTAAAGACAAAGATTCCTGGTGCCCGCCACCCACAGTGAATCTACCTGCTTGCCCAGCCTGCGACTGCTGAGGAAGGGACACTTCAGAAGCTATGGGTCTTGCCCTGCTCTCTCATCATTGATTTGGAACAGCTTAAGGCAAACAGAGCAGACCTTGGCCCTTCTGGGCTCAGGACTTCCCAGGCGAAATGGTCTATCAGTCAGCTGCTCAGTGTAAGCCGTCATGGGGCTCAGCCACCCACACCACAGGTAGGGCGGGCTGGGCGGCCAAAGAGAACAATGTGATGATAGGCCAGTTTAAGAGGAAGCAAAGGGAAGAGTCCAGCACCTTCCAGCCCCCATGCTTTTGAGGACAGCCGTGCCCCCAAGTGTCCATCCTCTCCCACCTACCAGCAGTTGGGGAGGTTGAGGGTGATGCTGCCTTGGATACTGGCTCCAAATTGTAAGTACCCCAAGGACCCCAGGCTGATGTAGACGATGGTGACAATGGCCATGCCCAGGTACAGGATGAATGGGAATTTCTGCGGATCCTTCATTTTGTTTTCAAGAGGCAGAACCTTTGAGAAAGTGATGAGAAAAGAGAGCAAGCACAGGGAAATGCAAAATTAAGAGCCCACACAGTAGCATCATTGGGAAACAGGCACGCTGTGTCCTCAGAAGTCTCCAAAAGCATGTTTTCCTTTACTAGACAGGCTAACAAGCCCAAGTCACAGCATGAGAAATGACACTTTCAGAACCAGGGACACCAGTGCTCATCAGTCCCACCAGGAAGCCCTGAGAGGTTTGACAGGACTGACCAAGAGCCAGAGGCCCCTGGCCCAGGCCAGCCCTGTCTTCCTGTCACTAGAGGGCAGTGTGTGACAGCCGGCAGGGTCCTGGCCACAGGCCTCTGGCTCACTGGTCTCCAAAAGTAAAACACAGGCAAGGAGAGACAGCAACAGCTGCTCTTGGTCCCCAAAACAAGCCCCTACTGCCGGGGACAGCCGTCAGGTCAGAGAAACAAAGGTGCTGGCCACAGTGTGACTTAACCAAGGACCTGGGGGCTCAGCCCCAACCCCGAGCCCAGTTCCCAGACGCCTGCTTCCCTCCGCTGACCCTCGCTGCTTCCTCAGTCACACCAGGGGCCCTTCCTCCACGGTGGCCAAAGCACAGGGCCCTAGGGAAGTACACCAGCCACAGTGGCACACTGACGGTCATCCCAACCTGCCTGTGCCATCTCCTCACTGCTGCCTGGCAGTGCTTGTGGCTGGGAGGCGTAGTGGTCTGCGCTGCGCACCCCTCACCCCCAACCAAGCGCGGCAACCCTGTCCAGGAGATGCCAGGCTCTGCATCCCACAGGGGCCTTTGGCACTGCCCTGCCCCAGCTGCAGGGGACCCCCACACAAGCACAAACAGCTTCTCCACTTGCATCAGCTTCCTGCATGCCAACTCTGGCCGTACACAGCCAGGGAGCGCAGTGCATCCTAGGGGGCCAGGACCGGTGTGCAGGCAGACAACAGAGGCACTGGATGGCGCTCCACCTTGACTTCACCCTGCCACTTGGGATGGAGAGTCCAGACAGCAGGCTCTCTATCCTCCCGATGGAAAAACACAAAAAGATCTTGAAGCATCAGCAGCGTGCATGGGAGACGCAGCAGCCAAGCTTTGGTTGAAGAAACAAAGCGAGGAACAGCTCCCGTGCTGCACTGTGAGGGAAAACTGACCCCACCTTGGTACAGCACTTCTCACCACGGGCTCCAGACATCTCAACCTCCTCTGTCAGGTCCTGAGCCCTTGGAGTCACATTCTCTCTGCTAAAATCTGGACCCCCCTGGGCCTCTGACCAGCAGCAGGAACCCACGGTGAGATAGT